ATATATATATATATATATATATATATATATATATATATATATATATTAAAAGTTTTGGCATAGGATATATATATACAAATGCAAATAATCATGTCGGTTAAGTAAATTATTTCAGGCACAATTTATTTTTGTAAAAAGTTGCGTTCTTTTTTTTTAGAAATTTGGCGCTTTTCGGAAAGATGAGAATGACTTCGCTTGTGTATACAATCATCGTTTCGATACAACCATTGTATACATAGTCGAATAACACGTAATTGTATTTCTGTGTATAATCGTTATCAATAATAATTTCTTTGCGAAAAAAGAAGCACACGTTTTATACATCTTACTGTCATACGTACGCACGCACATACCGCTTTCTATGCTTCCAATCGCGATTCTTCGGATAAGATGTAGTGTTAAAAAGGAGTGCTGAAAACGCGAACGACTTGTGCTTTACATTCCCAAGGAATATTGCTACTTCGTACGCGATAATCATATGAAAGCGGTATGTGTTTAAGCGGAAGCATCCATTCTTTTAATATCGGGCAAAATGTAGGGAGAAGAGAGACTCCTAGTTATCTGTTCTTTCCTTTTTTTTTTTTTTTTTTTTTAGTAAACGTGAAAGATGTGACAGAGTATAAATTTCATAGCCTTATAATATCTGCCTTTGTAATCGGACAATAAAATTTACAATGAAAATAGATACAGGCGTGTTTTATGCAGATATTTATATATCTATATATATATATGTACAAAACGATATTATAATGTATTGGTATATCTATTTATCACAAATTCGTATCGTAAAAGCATCGGTCTCATAATATGTTAAACATAATACTTATTACATGGAGTTGAAGTATTGTAGGACTCTATACAGACGCTAGAGGATGGAAGACTTAAAGGCGACCCTATGAAATATCACCTTCAAGCGGTTTTTTTTTTAGTGCTCGGGTAACTACTAACAAAGTGGTACGATTTATGATACACACGTTTACGAATCTTACACGAATTCGGCAATTTATTTACAGGACGCAATAAGACTCGAAGATTGTCTTTATAATGAATATCTATTTATAAAAATAGTCATGCGCGTGAAAATCTATAAAGATCTAGTTTTTATCAGAAAATTAGAACAGAGATAAAAACGAACTGGAAATCGCAGTGCAGTACACATTCTTCCTGTGTGTGTGTATGTGTGTGTGTGCAATAGTCTATACAATATAATTTTAACAACATTTTGGCATCGCACGGTGTATTAATTGCTCTGTAAAGTTGTATAAACACTTTCGCAGCATACATAGCACGTATGTATGTAGTTACCTATGATATAGTAATGCAGTAAAAATATATTTTTATTTATCGGACAGGCGAAATAAAAAATTGCAATATGGACAGAAATTGCAAATACGTTACATCATGCTCTTATCATCCGGTATATACTATACAAATGCATTAAAAGCTGAGAACGTACGTAGTTCGTTTCGTTTCCTCTCGCATACATCGGGCTTTGCAGCCGCTCTATATTATAAATTCGACCGTTACAATACTCTGACTTTCGTGTAATAAAATATAAAAATAATAATAAATCGCAATTACTCTTCCTCCGTAACGGGCATTCTGAAAATCCAATGGAACTTCAGATTACACTCTTTAATTCTTATAGACGTACAACCAGTCATACAATAAGACTATCTTATATTTTTAAGTTCTAATTGGTAGGTACAAAATATTAAATTATATCATATATAAGTCAATTAGTAATATATATGGTACACGTTATATTAATGGTATTTCAATTTGACCTTGTTATACAGTAAAATGTGAATATGATACAACCTCTAAGTTCTTTTTTCTTTTTTTTTTTAGTGAGCGTGTTCCTCGATGATCTTTGGAAGATTTAATTGCATGCTATACGAAACGCATATACTTTACATAGCTGTCCGATTTAAATATTTTATAGTAGTATTTATAGAAATTTTATGGCCATAAAAATGTGATCACTTCATAATTTCCTATTATATTAAAGGCTGATGAATATTCGACACATCTCTGTAAAGCATCTAAAAGTAATACGTATTACATAATGAAAAGAACAAACAAATGTGGACTTGACATTGTGTTAACTTCAATAATCCTGTTAAAATAAATTAATTATAAGTGAAGTTCCATCATTAATAATGTGAATAACCTTGCAAGACTGAGTAATCTTATAAGAGAAAAAAGATGCAACCCTGATATCATGGCTTATCCTTATCGCGCGCATTATCTAAAATTATAAATCCATGGAAGTAGCGCCATATAAAAGCAATTATTCAGACTAATTTAATCGTGCCCTTCATTCTTAATAAGCTACAAAGGCTGATTTGCTAATATTTACGTTATAATATACTTATTGTAAATGGTGTTCTCACTATGTACCATTATTCAATATACATAAATCATTTATCAAATCCGATATATCGAATTAAGTGTCAAAAACTTTTTTAAATAAATTGTTATGCTGTACATTTGTCATTAAAGGAAACTCTAATAATAATAGCAATAATTCTAAATCAAAATAATGAAAACAAATAAACGTGTGTACTTACAGAAACATATCAAAAGAAAGTACATAGGAATATTATATATTAAAAAAACGTATATAATTCATTTTCTAAATCCATGATAATTTCTCTCTCATATAATAAACTTTCGATGTACACGACAGTGAGAAGTTAGGCAAATCAAAGAAATATATTAATATACTTAAAAAATAATTTGGACATATCAAGTGACATGCATTACAACTTTGGCTTACAAATTTCTAATTGGATTATCTTGATAAATTACGTAGCGTTTATTAACAAATATCAATGATCTTTAATTTGAAGCGTGCTGTATACATTTTCGCTTTTTAGAATGTTATTAGTAAATCAGCCGTAAGTTTGATTCTTATTAAATTCAGTCAATATATAAAATGCTTTGGATAATGAACAGTTGACTAATATATATCACAAGTTATTTTCTCCCATAAGGACAGTACAGATAATGCTACGACTAAAACATTTTCTTTCTCACCCTTTGTTTCGTCAGTACGCCTCACATTCTCGTATGCTTTGTTATATCCACATTTTAAGGTCCCAGACAGTAGAATCTTTGCACAATCAACAGAAATATATTGACATTTATTGCCAAATAAGATTAATATTTATAGTTTTCCGTAATTAGCGGTATAACACGGTTAATCAAAGTGAATCTAGAATTTGGAAATGGGAATTGTATCTAGAAAGAAGACCAATCTGAAATTTTTCTCTATCGGATCACCTCACGATTCTTTAATGAAGACAACTAGAATAACGCATTGGAAATTATAATAAATTGAGAAACGTCTAAATTTTAGAGTACACATATAACGGTTAGATTTAAGGTTGGAAATTATAATAAATTGAGAAACGTCTACATTTTAGAGTACATATATAATTGTTAGATTTAAGATTGTTATTGCAAACCATACTTGCGACGGAAATATGATACAACTTAGTCGTACATTACGGTATATATGCGATATTTTTACATCTAGTTTAGACAATATATAAAAACAGTTTGCCAAGAGATGTATATAATACATCAAATATTCCACAATAATTAAACAAAGATGTAACACAAATGTTTGGTATAATCCAAACGATCTCTTTCAAAAATCATTAAAATTGATCGGTAACAATGTCTTTACAAAGTTTCACGTACCTTTATTTAAAATCTGAGCAGTAACGTTTGCGTCTCTGCGTTTAGATCCGTTTTTACATCCGTGCATATGTTTAAGATAAAATAGCAATGCTACGTCTAGGTCCGCCTATGCATACATTGTCTAAGCTGGACCACTTTTTAATACCGGTACGTAGAGCCTCGGCTGTGACCTTATCTTCGTAAACTCTGGACATAGCTTCTAGCTTCTGCGCCTTCTCCTTGCTAAGTGGCTCGCTAAGGAATGTTAATTCGTTCGCTTCCGCAAGTGTACGAAGATCGAAGTAATATTTGGCATATACACTCGAAGGAACATTTATGTTGAATTGCAGCATCTCCAGAAATTGCCTCTCTAATTCGTTCCTAGTTAGAAGTTATAAATTTATTCGATTGATATGGTTAATAGTAGCATCTCAAACTTCCACTCGTATCTTTCAGGGCTTCAGTTTGTTTTAGTTTCATAAAACGAGCAAGTGCAATAATCTAAAATGTAATTGAAAAAAAAACTTACATATCCTCCACGGTGATGTCTTTCAGGATTTGGCAGTAATCCACGTTCCACACCGCCTGATCATCCCAAACTTTGGACGCCAATAAAATAGCTCCCAGCACTATACGTTTCCAGTTAGCCGGTGTTATGTCTATCTCCGCGTAAGTAAGTAGGCGTTCGAGATAAACCAACGTTATGATGGCACATTCAGCAGTGAGCTGAGCGGCATTAAACAGAGTCCTTATAAATTTATATATTTGCTTATGCTCCGGATTATGCTTGTCATAATCCTCCGAAACACCGTCCCTCTGAAAGACAGATTTACTGTTCAAGTATGATGTAAGTATCGTGTAAGAAAAAATCTTAAGATTTGTCTGATCTATAGCAATCAATTCGATTGGTATTAAATGAGCATATAGAGAAGAGATACGAAAATACAGAAATAGATGAGTGGTTTATGGAGGCAGCTAATGCACAACGTCGTATCTCTTTGATATTAGTACCGTTAATGGATGCAGTTTCTCATCAAATATATCGATCTGTCGCTGCGACGTTCTATTCTTAATATGGTAATAAACGGCTAAGGCAACGCATTTGACGGTATTTTTCAAGTTAGGTTGTGAAACCGTGCTGTCGTCTAAATATATTGTACTGCAGCTGCTACTCTTCTTCAAAGGCCTTGTGTCCGCTATTTGATGTTGACTCTTCTTCCTCACCATGCCATCTGGAAAAAGAAGAGACCGGGAGGCGATCAAATACATGCCCGTTTATTAAAGACTAGCCTGCTGCGCCCATTCCCTGGGTATTACTCACTCTCGATAGACTTCTTGGAACGCTCCATGAAGATAGTTCCCGCGCACGGGTGCAACGACGGATCGGAGTCCCAGTCCTCCGGCTCGCGTTCACTGATATGTTGCAAATTATTTACGCTAATCCCACCCTCCGGCAGGTGCTCCTCCAGGCCCGGGCCCAGGCGCGAGTTGCACTCGGGCCGTATCTTCGCTCCGCCTTCTTTGCGCCCGACCTGCGGACTGGAGTAGACGCAACAGCTATTCTTGTTCCCCATGTTCCCATGTAAACTCTAACCGGTTGCCAGTGTGCTCCCCGCTTCCCGCACTTCGCGCGCGCGGTCACGCTGTTAGTCTCACAGTTCGCACGCGGGAGGAGGGCGGGGGGACCGCGGGCCGGGCGTAAATCGGAACCGCGATGCGCGCGGCAGCAAGCACGACGTCCTCTGGCTTGACGTTTAGGTATAGTTATAAGGTAAGTAGACAGGTAGATAGGTAGAGATAGGTGTAGAGGTAACGCTCGCTACCTCACATTTCGTTGTGCGATGAACGATCAGCTGACGGGGCGGCAGCCGTTCGCGCGACTGGTGACGCGACTCGCTCGCCCGCGGCTCGTCTGGCTCATGTCGGCGACGCTCGACCAAAAAAAGCAACGGCTCTCGCGCGACGAGGACCTCCTCGCAGTCCTCGCGTCTCGTTCTCTCCCTCCCTCTCCCTCCCTCTCTTTCTCTTACACACACACACACACACACACACTCTCTCTCTCTCTCTCTCTCTCTCTCTCTCTCTCTCTCTCTCTTTCTCTTTCCCTTCGGGGAGGACCGACGTTCGTCCCGCGATCGTCAGAGAACGAGGCGGTGACGCCTCGGTGCCGCGTTCGCGCCGGTCAACTCCGTTTCCGGCTCTACGATCGCACCTGAGCAGCCTGAGCTACGCGGTCGGCCACGGTCGCGACTCGCAGCGCGATTCATTGTCGGCCGCACGGCGGCAATCCCATCCTCATCGCGGTCGCGCGTCTATCCGGCTCGTACCTCGGAGTCTCGGGCACCGCCGCGAACGCGCTCCACGAACTGCGACGTCTGCGACGAAACGAACCGCGATGG